AAACTGAACCTGCAGAAGGTCCGTGAACACCTGGACCTGCACACACCAAACACATGATAACGTCACAGGTACATCCCACAGATACTGAACGATCCACAGATACTGAACGATCCACAGATACTGAACGATCCACAGACCTGCTTTGATATGTGCAGAAATCATAAAGAATCAATGAGCTGTCCCACGGGCAGTGAAGGTTTCCAGCACCACGCTTCAGACCCGGTTTCTTTCCTAAGCTTCAGGTTTGGCCTGAACAATTTACCCGCTTCCTTCCAAGTCTTCTGCTTTTTTGTTCTGTCTCTAAAGAGCAACATTGCATTATTCACCTCCAGCAGCGACAAAAAGCTCCTCAGAGCTCGACGTGGGAACATCACGCTCTGAGCCGAGACGTCAGAGGTTTAAATAACGTCTGTAGGAGTAACGGAGCCGCGGAGCGTCAGAGACACTCAGCTGTGAAACACACAATGAACATTTAAAGTTGGAGGACGTACTAATCCAATGGAAATGGAGCAGAGTGACCTCTACTGACCCCGACAGCTCCAAAGCAACAGCCAATGAGTGAATGAGCAAATCTGTGGATACAGATCTAGAACTTCTAATTCTACGCTGATGTATTTGACTATCTGATCAACATAAGGCTGATCGTGACACCTTTGCTGAGAGCTACTAACTGTGCCGAACTTCACGCCGCTCACATGACCTCACAGTAGGTTTTGTCGCACAGATCTGCGGCGTCTCTGTGGAGTCGGCGCTCCGTGTGTGCAGCTGGGAAACTAAACCGCCATCACAGAGTTCTGGTTCACGTCCAGAACTGCAGACGGCAGCAGCAGCAACAATCTGCTGAGTTTACACTCCACACGCTCGGTGTAAATCCACTTCCTCCTGCGTTGCTACCCACTCGTTAGCTGGAAGCACGCTTCTATTTGCGGCCCCGTTTGTTGTTGTTGCTGTTAGTGAGAGGAAGAAGCCTTTTAGGCAGCAGACAGTTTTGTTATACACGCACAAACGTGAGGAAAGTACCGCAAGCAGCAGCAGCAGCAAAAAGAGGACGCTCACCGATTTTAACGAGGTTTCGTTTCAGGAAGATGTTCTTGGCCTTCAGATCTCGGTGGAGGATCCGCCTGCAGAGAGGATTAAAAGCAGGTCGCAAACTGATGAATCTGCAATCATTTGTTCTAACATTAAACAGCTACAAATGTTTCTGTTTTTGTGACTCTTTGTTGTCACCTACAATCTCATTAAACCACAAAAACGTGTTTCTACTTTACCAAGTGTCA